CAGAATTCAATCTTAACTAACTCCTTTAGTGAAGTGAGGAAGAGTGAAGACTTCTCAGTATGTTTCACAGACCCACCATAATGTTGATACCAAAACCTGAAAAGAACATTCCAAGAAAATAAAAGCAATACCTTTTATACACAGACTATTATAAGCTAAATTAATTTTTACAAAGCAAAAATAGGCTAATCTATCTCGATCAGGTGGAGTTTACCCGATGAAGATCACAGTAGTCCAAAATTTGTAAATCAATGTTATTCATCACAGTAAAAGAATGGAGAAAAATCACATTATCATTTCAATAGATGCAAAAAAAAAAAGAATTTTGATAACATTTGTTAAAACTCAAAACCCATTCATAACAAAAACCTCTCAGCAAATCATGAATAGTAGGAAACTTCCTCAATCTAATAATGGCTATCTACAAGAAAAACCCCAAAACCTATAGCCAGTATCACATTGGGTAGTGAAATGATGAATAATTTGTCAAAAACAATAAATCTGTTCTCTCACCCCTTATATTTATTATACCAGAAGTCCTAGCCAGTGCCATAAAGGAAAAGATGTAAAACTGTATTTATTCACAGGTCACATCATAATGTACAGAGAAAAAACAGATATACAAAGAAATTATCAGACTAAGTCAATTTAGTAAGGATGAAGGATACAAAGGTCAATATACAAAAAAATCAACTATATTTCTATATTCTAGCAATAATTATAAAATGAAAATTTAGAATAGTACCTACCATTTATAACAACAAAATATTTCGTGATTAAAGGTAATACAATATGTGCAAGACTTCTATATTAAAAATTACAAAACACTGATGAAATTGAGGAACTAAAATAAATGGAGAGCTATACCACGTTTACAGACCAAGAGACTCAATATTGCTAAGATCTGTTTTTTTTAGAAGTTGACAAATTGACAAATTAATTGCAAGTTAATATGGAAACACAACGAACCTATAATAATGAAAACAATCTAGAAGTTAGATGACATATATTTCAATTGTAAAGCTACCGCTATTGATAGTATAGTATGTCAGATTAAAAGATTAATGTAACAGGCTGGGCGCTGTGGCTCATGCCTATAATCCTAGCACTCTGGGAGGCTGAGGCAGGCGGATTGCTCGAGGTCAGGAGTTCAAAACCAGCCTGAGCAAGAGCGAGACCCCATCTCTACTATAAACGGAAAGAAATTAATTGGCCAACTAATATATCTAGAAAAAAAATTAGCCAGGCATGGTGGCGCATGCCTGGAGTCCCAGCTACTTGGAAGGCTGAGGCAGGAGAATCGCTTGAGCCCAGGAGTTTGAGGTTGCTGTGAGCTAGGGTGATGCCACGGCACTCACTCTAGCCTAGGCAACAAAGTGAGACTCTCTCTCAAAAAAAAAAAAGATAATGTAACAAATTATGAGTCCAGAAAGAGAGCTGCATGTATATGGTCACTTAGTTTTTGAGAAGGTCATAATTTCAATTCAATGTGGAAAAGAAGGCATAAGGCATATTCAATAAATGGTACTGGCACACCTAGATTTTACAATGTAGTTTTTTTCTAGAGGAAAATTAATGCCTAGATCTGTATCTCACACTACACTCAGTAATAAAAGCAAGATGAGTCTAAATGTGAAAAACAAACCTATCACATTTTTCAAAACACAGGAGAATATATTTATGATTTGGTGGTGGGCAAAGACTTATCAGCTAGAACACTAAGGCATTAATTTAAAAGTTGCTGATTTCCCGGTGGCTCATACCTGTAATCTCAGCACTTTGGGAAGCCCAGGTGGGAGTTCAAGACCAGCCTGGGTAATAGTGAGACCCCATCTCTACAAAAAGTAAAAAAATAAAATAAAATTAGCCAAGCATGGTGGCAGGCACCTGTAGTCCCAGCTACTCAGGGGCCTGAGGCAGGAGGATTGCTTGAGCCCAGCAGTTTGAGGTTGCAGTGAGCTATGATGATGCCACTTCACTCTAGCCTGAGCAACAGAGGGAGACCCTGTCTTGGAAAAGAAAAGTTGTTGATTTTGATTCAGAAAAATTAAACTTCTGCTCACCAAAAGATATTAAAAAAATGATAACACAAGCCAAACACTGGGAGAAAATATTCACTCTCCATATCCAACAGAAGGCTCTTATTCAGATTATGTAAAGAACTTGCAAAAATAGATTTTTAAAAAAATATTAAAGGGAAAAATTCAAGCATTTATTTCATCAACACACACAGAACATATGAATGGCTCCCATGTGTATGAAAAAGTGCTCCACATCATTAATCATCAGGGAAATGCAAATTTAAACCACCCAAGGTGCCACTTCACGTTAGAATAGCTTAAAAAAAAAAGTCCGATAGCACCCAATATTGGTGAGGATGTGGACAATGTGGGACTCAACACATTGCTAGAGGGAATACAAATTGTTAAAACCATTTTGGAAAACTGTCTGGAAATTTCCAATGATGTTAAACATATACCTATCCTATTACCAAGCAAGTACATTTCCATTTTCAGGAATGAATGCCTTTCTCTGGAGAATCATTCTTTGATATATTATTCAACAGTGACTGAACCTCTATTATTTGCTAAATGTTCAGGACATACAGGTGATCAGTCTCTGCTTGTATGAAGCATAATAGGCATACAATTTCCAAAAGTGGGGTGAGAGGAGGGGAAGGAAGCATATAAATCTTATTATTTCAAGAGTACCTTTCTTGAAACTTACCCGACATAACAATCACTTGGGGTGCTCAATAAAAACACAGATTTAACAGTGTAAGGGTTATTGAAGGCCTTTAAGAATGTCATTTAAACAGATGTGAAAGATGAGCAAGTGGGAGCCGCAGGAGGAAGGACTCCTTTAGTATTGATTTTGACAGAAAGGGTAAGGAAAGGAGGAATGATATAGAATGAGATATGTCTTTTATATAAAAATGAAATAATCATCATTGATTTATATTCACTGAACTAGGAAACTACACAGCGAAACAATTTTCTGTTTTTAATGTTATTTTGCTTTTGGGTGAGTAGCAATGGAGATGATGAGTTCATTTTTATACATAAGCTCTAGGTGCCTATAATACATACACAGATGTGAAGCTTAGTAATTAGCTAAACTGAAGTATTCGACCCCAAATGTACATATGTATGTATGTATGCATTTATTTATTTACTTTTTGAGACAGGGTCTGGTTGTCACCCAGGCTAGAGTGCAGTGGTGTCATCACAGTTCACTGGATCTCAAACTCCTGAGCTCAAGCAATCCTCTTGCCTTAGCCTCTGAAGTAGCTGGGACTACATGTCTATGTTTATGTAATTTAACAAAAAATTTTTTGGAGACAGGGTCTTGCTCTTAAATAAACATTTCTCCAAAGACATACAAATGGCCAAGAAACACATGAAAAGATGCCCAATATATCACAGTCACAAGGGAAATGCAAAGCACAACAAGATACCACTTCACACCCACTAGCATGGCAATAATAATAATGGATAAGAAGTGTTGGCAAGGATATGGAGAATTCAAAACTCCCATCCGTTGCTGGTAGCAATGTAAAATGTTGTGGCCACTTTGGAAGACAGTCTGGCAGTCCCTCATAAAGTAAAATACAGAATGACCACATGACCCAGCAATTCCACATCTATACACATACCCACTTTTATTGTTCTTGGAGTTCTCACTTTCCAAACTAGCTCCTCCAGTGCTCTCAATCCCAGTGAATGGTACCACCTGAACCGAGCCAGAAATTGTAGGACACTCCCTTGACACGCCCCTCATCCTCACCGGGTCTTGTCAATTTAACACTCGACTCTCACAGCTATCATGGCAATAATCTCCCACTTGGCCAAAATACCATGTTTCCCTGAAAATAAGACCTACCCATAAAATAAACCCTAGCAGGATTTCTAAGCATGTGCGCAACAGAAGCCCCACCCCGAAAATAAGCCCTAGTGGCGGGCTGCACAACCCATGCATGTCGCTGGGGAGTGGCAAAGACGACGAGCAGCCCTTCTCACCTGCCCCGTGAGAGCTCTAGTGCTCGACGTGAGAGACTGGGGCCAGTGGTTCTAAAGGAAACAGAGTCGCAAGGCATTCAGGACGGGATTCCGGCTTTGGAGAGTGACGATGATGTTCCAGAAGACGCGACTTAACTCTATTTGAATAAATGTAGATTGTTGTACCGTACTTAAAAAAAAAAAAAAACAACAACAAAAAACCCACATCCCTTGAGAATAAGCCCTCGGGTGTCTTCTTCAGGAAAAACACATACAAGACCCTGTCTTATTTTCGGGGAAACACGGCACTGTTTGCAAAATGCTTATCGGACCACGTCACTCCACTGCCTAAAACTCAGCAAAGGGCTGTCACTGCTTCCAGATTAACGTCTCAGTGAGTGAGACCCCGCGGCGGGCTGGACCCTGCGTTAAAGCCGGCACTCCCGTCTTCCAGGCACACCCCGGCCTTTGCGTTTCCGTCCGCGAGCCGGGCCACGTGCGTGCTCCCGCCTGCCCGCACGGCCCGCCCAACCCTTAGCCCCCGCTCAGCCCTCATCTCGAACACCCACGTGTTTAGGGAAACCTGCCCGGCCCTGCGGCCCACGCTCGGGTCGGGGCTCGACCTCCCTTCTCGGCCCGGCGGTCCGGGCCTGCTGCGGCTTGGTGCGGGCACGCACGGGAGCCGGGCCCCGTCCTGCGGGGGCGGTAACTGCCTCGGAAAGGCAGGCTCGGGCTTAGCTGGGCAAGCCTCTGGGGCGCAGGTCGCTGTGCACCCGCGAACCCGAGCGGGAAAAGCCCGCTTGGAACCGCGCGGAGGTCCCGGAAGCCCGTGGCCGCGTGGGGCACGCGCACGGCCGCGTCCCTCCCGCACCTGGCCGGCCTCGCCCCGCCGCCGTTGGGCGTCCCGCGTGCCCCACCGGCTGTTAGCCGGCCACGCAGGGGTTCGCCGTCCCCGACCTGCTCACGCCCAGCGGCCGCGTCCCGCCTCGCTGCCCAGCTTACCGCCCCGCGTCCACGCCCGTCGCCCCCGGGAGCCGCGCCGCCGCCGCCGCCACACGCCCTACGTCCACCCCGCACAGCCGCCTCAGGGCTAATGGCGCTCCGATCGCTGCCGCGGCGCCCGTTGGGTAACGGCTCCCGGCGGCCCGCCCACCGCCTGACGAAGAGCGCTCCTATTGGTCCTCATGAACAGGGCGACACCGTGATTGGCCCGGTATTCGAGCGCCAAAGCGCGGGAAGGAGGCCGCCTGTTTGGAGTTTGCACGTTTGGCGGGAGAAGAGCGTTTGCGTCCGCGGGCCAAGCGCGCGGGCAGAGACACCTGCGAAGGTTTTCCTGCTCTGCAGCCCAGGACCCTCATCCGGACCGCGCGGCTCTGCAAAGCCACCGTGTGACAATGCTGGGACGTGCTCAGGCCAAACTGCCCGCATCTGGGACCCGGCGGGCCGCAGCCCTCAGTGGCCGGAGGGGGCCTGGCCTGCTTCCTTGCGGGGCTGTGTCCAGCGCGGCGTGCGCCCTCGTAGTGTTGACGAGCTTGTCCTTTGACCCTTAGCAGGGCCCGGGGACTAGGTGAGGCATTTATTTGTCACGGATGCAAAATTCAAGGGGTTGCCAAAAACCTCAGCAACCAAGATAAACAATATTGTAGTGCCATTGTTTTAAAAAATCAAAAGTAATTAAAAAAAGATCCAAGATGAACAAAATATCCAAATAAGCACTCCATTTTTTTTTTCTTGCTTGCCTCAGACTAAATGGCTCTACAGGGCACACCGTCCTTATCTAAAATTTGGCTATTTTGTTCATCATGGAGTTTTGCATTTTGATTTTTTAAGCAATTAAAATATTATCTGAGGCGGTGTGCGGTGGCTCACACCTGTAATCCTAGCTCTATGGGGAGCCAAGGCGGGCGGATTGTTTGAGTTCAGGAGTTTGAAACCAGCCTGAGCAAGAGCGAGACCTGTCTCTACTATAAATAGAAAGAAAATTAATTGGCAACTGATATATACAGAAAAAATTAGCGGCATGGTGGCGCATGCCTGTAGTCCCAGCTACTCGGAGGCTGAGGCAGGAGGATCGCTTGAGCCCAGGTTTGAGGTTGCTGTGAGCTAGGCTGACACCACGGCACTCACTCTAGCCTGGGCAACAAAGGGAGACTCTGTCTCAAAAAAAAAAATATCTGATTACTGAATTTTTTGCATCCTCCCCCTTATATTTTGTGCCTCATCGTCCCTGATAGCAAATTTAAACTTGCACCAAATGAATCCTGAAGGGAGGCAGATGGCTTTGTTTGCTTATTTGCCTCAACATGTGCTTGACTGCTGAGGAGTAAGGGAGAGGGCTCTTTGGATAAGTGGCAGAGGGAGGGGGGAGCTGTAAAGCTATGTTTGCCACAGAATTGTCCCCTCAAGGGAGACTGCCTCTAAAATGCACTGCATTATTCCTTCGTTCCACAGATTCGGACTGGCCTACCAGGGACCAGGTGCTGGGCTTGGCGAATAGTGAGTGAACAGTGAGCATGGGTCTACCCGAAGTCACCTTGGGGCGACTTAATATACTTTATGGCAAGTCTTGCCCTTATCCAAGGTGCCTTGGAGTGCCTCTCAAAGTGTAAGTCTTGTCCTTCTGCAGTGGATTTCATTTTTGAAATCACTGTATCATTTAAAGTTAATATTAGTGGATAAGAGGGTGGCCAGGGCAGCAGCATGTTGTTGTGACATGCTCAAGCCCAGTGGCCGTGCCCTTGCAGGCCAGAGCTTCACAGGAATGAAGTCTGGCTGTGTGATAAAAAGGCTTCAGGCTGAGGATCACATTAGGCTGGACACTCTCCACTTATCCGGGGAGATGGCCCCAAGGGCGGGACTTGTAGTTCTGAGCCAGGTGACCCTGGTAGGGGGGCTCTGGAAGTGTGTCCATGGGAAGGCAACCCTGACACCAAGAC